TCATACAAATTCGACTTAAGGACAGACCTTGGGAACAGAGCTCATTCTTAAACTGGGGACTAACTGTAACAAACATGATCAGCCCCAAATCAATCTACTGCAGGATGAAGGGCTCTTTATTGAAACTTATGGGTCATAATCTACCATGCTAGTTCAGCATGGGCTGGTAGATAAATGTCTAGGGCTGAAAGTGACTGGCTCAAAGTCACCCCAGTGGTTTCCATGCCCAAGGGAGGACTAGAACCTGGGTCTCTCCACTTCTAGTCCAGCACTTTAACTATTATACCACACTAGCTCTCATCTCATATATCTACACATATGTAGATGTGAAGGACTCTTGTGTCTATTTGTGCACATTTTTTAAAGTGAAAAATTGTGTTGTCATAAATTCACAATTTATCAGTGAATTTTGATGGCAAATCTTGAAAGAAATCAGGAGCTATACGTAGGGCAAGCACTAACCATCCCAAATCTACCCTATAGGATATGTTATGGGAAAAAGCATAGAAAAAGAACAAAAGAACACATGATTCCCAATCAGATGCAATATTTGGTATGAGGCTGATGAAAGTTTATTTTCCCTGTGCATTTTTCCATTTGGAATTCTTTTAAGGCAAGTTACATAAGGTAATAACATACTACAAATGGCATTGAAGTGCATTTCCTATTCACAATTTTCAGAAACTGCTTCCATCTTTCATTTACTAATTTCTGTCAATAGTTAAGATTCCTAAGTTGGGCTTATTTTTAATACAGAAAACTGATCCATTTTAAGACTATAGGCAGGTGAAAATGGGCAAATATTATCCAGATAAACCAGTTTGTTCAACCTACTATGAATCAAGATAAATTGATTTTGAATGCTTGGCATGCATTGTTCTTCTAGTACAATCTTTCTGACACACCTTAAATGTTATTTACACATTGGCATGGCTTTCTAGCTGAAAAAATTTAGAAGGAAAAAAACCTAGGGAGTAGCAGTTTAGGAAAAAAGAAATTGACAGAAACATTATGGTTTAAATTTTATCCCAAAATTATAATTCTATCAGTATACTGCATAAACAAATATTCAAATATTTTTACACACATTACAAATTTGAAGAACCTTGTTCTTACAAGTGAAAAGCTGAAGGAGTTTTAATAATCTAATGTCTAAGAAGACAGGATAAAAAGTCCAACTGGAAGATACTAAGATACTAAATATGGTACTGAAAGGACGAAACATTTATTGGCTTTCTATGGTTAGAAGGATCTCTGGAAAGTAGGTTAGACCTGCAGAGGAAATAAAAGATACTAAAAATTTGCCAGCAGATAGAATCCTGACAGCATCTCAAAGTTCAACTTTCTCTCCAACAATGTAGCCTACCTTCCAACATTTTCTAATCAACTCTTTGACAGGTGAGGATTTTGACTAACAAATCATGTTTCCTTACACATACACCTGAGGTAACTTACTTCACAGACTCTGTTACCTTAATAATTATTGAGTAGGAACAACTAGGCAGGAAAATCAGGATTATGTGTAGATTTATGTGTGTAGATTGTTACTGAGCAATTGCTAAATAAACCAAAGTAACTATTATAAGCAGTTGTATCTTGCTGGTGTGAATGATGCCAGAGAGGAAGCTGGAGAAAGGGTTGGAATCCATAATCTCCATAAGGGTGTATGGGATGAGATACACATAAACTGCATAGTTTAGCATTTCAGCAGATTGGATACCATAAATGGTCGAGGAAGGGCAAAACCACTTTGTATCAAAGGATCTACAGTATTGCAGTTCTCTCAGATATCACTGGTGGTTTGCCTGCCCTGGCTGTCTAGTGTAATTAAATAAGAGCAGGACTAGTTTGGCAGCCCATAATTCCATTGCCAAATTATGTTCACCAAGCACCATGAGACAGTGTCGTCCATGGGGCGGGGAGTGTCAAAAAAGTAAAAATTCAGTTGCAGCAATGTGATTGAAGCCTTGCCCCATCATAACATCAATGCGTGTACAGAAGGGTGGGCTTTGATCATGTTGCCACAACTGTAATCTTCACTTTTTTGGCCCCTACGGAGGGAGAGAGGGTATGCATAGATGAATATCGATGGGCAATGTTAAATAATTCTACTTGCCATTCTGAGTTGATCTCCTCTGTGCTAACTTACACTTATCTGAGCATGCAGCCTCCTTAGAACAGAAGAATAAGAAGACGTGTCCCAATAGTCTAATTAGGACACACATTTCCCTATTTACTGCACTGAAAAAAGCAGTGTGATCAGTTGTGGATATCTGGGCAGGTGTATTGCAACTTGGTAAAATTACCTATGTAATTGAACTTTAAGACTGGTGTACTTATTACAGATAAATGTCCTAATATGGATGAAGAGGTGACTATTCAACAGTAGTCCACTATAAGACACAGGCTCTCTATTTCAGCCACCTTACGGGTATAGAAACGTAGAGAACATTAAAGACTTTTTAAAAGAGATTAGGGATCTTGAGAGTTGCATAGATTGCTAGTGATTCATAAAAACACTTGGCAGCAGAAATGTAAAAGCTGCTCAGTCACAACTAGTTCTTGGTTAATTCTGAGAATATAGCTCAAAAGTCTTTTCTGCTGACTACATTTTTAGAGAATCTCTTCTGAAGCCTCTATGGAACAAACAAACAAACAAACAAGCAAAAAACGTATTAATGTCAATGTAGCAAGGGGCTGGAACTTGAAAATGTGCAAATATATGCAAAGTGTTCCTTAAAAATTAGCACATTATGATCACGTGCTGTATTTTGTAACAGTGCATATGCAGTCTCTCAGCTTCATGGCTTCTAGCAGCAGACAATTATTCTCTGTGCCAATTTACATTTATTAGAGGCAGTTCCCTTTAAACTTGCACTTAGTTTGGCATTTGAATCCTGCACTTCTAGAGTATTTGTAATAATGACTGGATGCTTTTTTATAGTTAAAAAAGAAGGGGAAAGAGATGGTAGATCTGTATTATTTTAGGGTTGGCAGCACACATTTACATTCTAATAGTTAAAGAGCTGTTGGAGGGTTGGAAACTCTTTTTATGTTTTTTACCTCAGCAAACAATAATCCCGGTCTTAGAGGAAAAAGCATTTTAAGCAGTTTCCGATTTAGATGGAAGGATTAACCACTTGTGATGACCCTTTTAGCTGATCAGTTACAGTCTTCAATACAGTGATGAAAGAAGTAAAACTAAAGGTCGAAGAACTTTGGGACTACCTAGAGCAGAAACTCATACTGTATTAACAATGGACAGCAATGCACTTTTCTTTAGAAAAACTGAAATTACAATGTTCTGAAACTAATGCATAATCCTTTGAGATTTTCATTTCGTTTGAGGGAATCTTCTTCCAAAAAGGTATGCTAAGATCGCAATCTTAACCAATGCTAAATCTAGTTAGATTTTCTTTTTAAAAATGGGCAACAGTTCTAAACACATTTACTTGGAAGTATATTTCAGTGAAATTAACTAGTTCTCTCCATAGTACAGTAAGAAACTAATATCTGGATAGCAGTTTTGAATCCCGTATCAGAATACTTAAGGAACCATTGCATCATTTAAAATAACTACAGGAATCTGCCTATAATATATACCTATTTCAGTATACATTTAGGAGCTATGTATTCTCAACTTCCAAGTACAAAAGCCAGTTAAGCTATCTGAGTGACCACTTGTCTGTCTGTCTGCCTATTTTGTCCTGTCTGCCTGTCCTGTTTGATATAACAGAGTTGGCATGTTTTGGGTTCCACAAAAGTGTCATCTTGTGGGACTCGGGAAAAGGGCCTTCTCTGTCCTCAGGAACAGCATCCTCCTAGACATTTGTATGGTCTTTCCCATGACTTCATTTAAATGGGCCCTTAAAACCTGGCTCTTCCTTCAGGCCTTGGGCTAGATTGGGTGGCAGTTTCCTTGTGGAATGTTGCATGCCATAGAAGGTATTTTTTTCTAGCTAGTCATTTTTTCTTTGCTGTGTGTTGTTCACTCTGTTTTTAATACTGTACACCACTTAGAGCTGTCAAAGTCAGGTGGCCATACAAATTTGATTAAATACATACATACATACACACACACACACACACACACACACACACACACACACACACACACACACACACACACACACACACACACACACACACACACACACACACACACACACACACACACACACACACACACACACACACACACACACACACACACACACACACACACACACACACACACACACACACACACACACACACACACACACACACACACACACACACACACACACACACACACACATACTGCAGTTATATGTACCTATTCTTCCCATTATACTGTACATTATAGATTTATAGCCATATTTAACTTTGCCTTTCATGTGCATATATTCTTCTCCAGATGCTTTTGACTGGTTGCCTGCTTTGAGCATTTTACCTTGTAGAGCTGTTGCATGTCATATGTTTGAAGAATTCATCATTTATACTACATGGTGGGAGTCTGCCTTCAAATTTCTGTTCTTGTGGTGCCATAAGCAGGTCCACGACAGGTTCTCTTAGATTATCTTCTTTGTCTTTATGTCTTGGAATCTCTAGGGATTTAATAAATAAAACTGAATATCTTTTATTGCCAGAAAATATAAAACTTAAAAGGAGATAGTAATCGTCTTTAATAGCAATTGAAGTAGCATCTGTTCAAGTGGCTTCTATGACACTCCATAAGAACATACAGTATGAAATTACTAGACATTACTCTCACTTCATGGATTGTTATGTGTAGTGGCAAAAGGACTTGCTCATTCAATGATGTTATAACCTATGTCGCTGGAAGTGTTCACTAAATACAACCTAGGTAGGATTGTTTGTGATGCCACTGTTCATAGAAGACTTCAGGATACAAAGGCAACTTTAGCAACAACTACCAAGGTTGTATAATGTCAAATGGTGATGAGTAGGGAAATAACAACCAAGATCTGAGGCTTGCTAGGAACATTTTTTACAGACTTTGATGCCAGCATATATGATGGGAACTTTTAACTTCTCAGTAGACTCCTGCCTACAAGTTGTGACTCTAATTGATTGCTGCTTCCATTACTGTCCCCCAACAATGGTTAAAAAAATCCCGGTTTATGCATGTAGCCATGAAAAATTATCTTATCCTTGTCCATATTTTTAATGTGATCCCTTAAGATCATTTTTAAAAACATAGTATTGCTTCATTGGTCTTGATAACATGAAACATAGTTACTAAGACAATGGAGTGCTTGAAGAGATGAATTCATGAAGAATTTTATATATTGACCCAATTTCTACATAATGCTAATTTTTGGATGTGCGTGTGTCCCTTCAAGTTAGTCTTGATTCCTGATGACTGCCTGGACTAGCAACTGAGGTTTTCTGTACTATATGCAAACTATTCACAGCTTTTCAGCTAAAATTCTCAGATCAGTTTACAAGCTAAAATAATAAAATAATACACAATAAAGCAAATCAGAATACAGAATAAATGACAATGATGAAAACAAGTTTTTACAAATCAATAAACAAAAACAGTGGCTTCTTGTTTTCTCAACAAAACATTTATGAAAGAAGTGATAGCTAAAAAATGATGCCGCTGCAACTATGGAATTATGTCAGATTTTAGTAGACATTGAATCTGGTAGCACCTTCAAGACTAGCCAACATTATTAGGGCATAAGCTATGGAAGCAGGAGCTCACATCATCAGATGCTTAGGGTGGGTTTGCTATTACAGGATTTCAAATTTAGGGAGTGGAAGAGGGAGAACGGGATGGGAATAAAACAAGATGGGAAGTCAGTGATAGTGGAAACTGGAAAGAAGAGGCTGAGTGCCACTTTATCACTTAGCAAAGGTAATAGGCTAGAGCTCATTGTTTCTGTTCAAATCTTCTGTAATGGATGGTCATTTTTTAACGGATTGTAATTTGGTTACCAAAGTTTCCTGTTCCACCACTGCTATTTTGAGGTCAGTGATGGAGTGTTCTCTGATGCTGACATGTTGTGTTGTTGTCTTGTTTCTGTTTTGAGCTCTGATGCTCCATTAGTGTCCATTTATTCTCTTATGCAGAATTTGGCTTGTTTGTCCTGCATAGAATTTTGAGGAGCAGATTAGGGCATATCACTTTAAAGGATGAACACCTGACACTGTGGTGATGTTAGCTTACTGAGTATGTGTTTGAATAGCTTAACAACTAGTGACAACCAATTATATTCTGTTGTTGTGCCTCAAGGTACCTTTGGTGGAATAGGGACTTTTCTTCAGCATAAATAATACATTCTTGCTTTAGGTGAATTTATATTTGGACCAAGCCTAGGAAATGGAAGTGTCTGAAAACATCTGAAATTTATTAATGATTCCAAAAATGTAAATGATCTGTTATTTTCTTATTGAAGATTTTTTAAAAATTAGAATTTAAAATTGTACAAATTATAACTGCTGATACAAAGAAACTCACTGTCTTATTTCCTCCTTTAATTTGTTGATGAACATTAGCTTATCAGCCCCAGGAAGGAGGCAGTGGCAAGCCGCTTCTGAAAAATCTTGCCAAGAAAACTGCAGGGACTTGTCCAGGCAGTCTCGGAGAATCGTACACGATTGAACAGATTTTTTTTTAAAAAACAAATGGTCACCAGTTCCCACAAAAAGCTTACCATGTGCAATTTGATCAACAGGGAATTCTGGCAAGTCTTAGAATTTCTGTGTTTAGTTTAGCACATGGTAATGCAGATACACTTCTTTGTGTTGGCACTGTGCCCAGAAATGGGGAGCAATTTGCTTTCTCAAGTTTCCATAGTACTTTCTAAAGTGAAATTGGTTTCAAAGGTATATTATGACACAGAAGAATGAAAGTGGCATCTTAATATTGCATCATTGACCATTCTACTTAACAGGAACCATTAAATATGTACAAAGCAACAGCTGCTCTTGTATAAAACAGCTTTTTTGGCATGAAAGTATACATGATAAGTGAAGATAAATCATTTTTTAAAAATATCTTTTTGTACTCTGCATGATAGATGCAGTCAATTCTGTATAATCTGATGTTTACAAAGTAATCATAACGCAAAACCTCCTTAGGCAAGAATAAACCTTAAATTGCTGAAGCAAACATTTAATCAGAATTCTTCATGCTGATCTCGAACAATTCAATATATTCAACAAATGTAACTCGTAAAGATTAACTATGGATGTTTTTACATTTATTTTGCAGATATATCCCAAAGGAGCTAGTAAGCCAGATTTTGTTTGTTACTTGTTCAAAAGAGCCCTTACTGTGACTTTCTGTTCTTAAAGACTCATGAAGGGCATTCGTTGAGCACAAGACAGCACTTCCCGCGGAGTCTGTACAGGACCACAGTTACTTTTTGGGATGAAAAGTCATTCAGCCCTCCCAGGCCAGACAAGCAGAACAGAAAGCTGCTTGTATATCTGGAGAAAAATTGTCTTCGAAATAGGAGAGACTGCTGTTCCCCTAATAGAATGAGATGTGAATCTGGATGTTTCTCAATGGCTTGATACCAAAGGTCATTATTATCCTTGAGCCAACTGGAAATTGTGAAATTAGATGCTTTCTCAATTTTTATTTTGAAATAAAATAAAACAAATTAGGAAGATATAGTCCTTAATTTAATTTCTCTATCCAATACAAGCACAAATAGTTGCACAACTAATGCCAACACCTTGCTTTAGAACCCACTTCTTTAGACAGAAAGATGGAAGGGACATTTTTTGAGTTTGGTTGAAAACAATTAACTTTGGGTAGAAGAGAAGAATGAAAAAGTGAACATTTGCAGGCAGAGCCTCAAGCTAAAAACAGAGTCAAAAGGCTCAAAAAAGGCCATCCACATGATGTATCAAAACCCTAGGGAAGCAATGTATAAATGCAAGCTTTAAAAGTTTTGCATCTCTTAATAATGGGATGAGAAGACACAGGATTTTCCATGCTACCCAAAATTTTGAAAATAGTGATTGCCTCTTAATTATGTTGTAGCTGACAGCTTTATTTATTCTTTCCTAAAGAAAAGCTGAGTGACTTCATGTTCCATGAAGAAGATTCATCGTTATTTTGAATTCACCAAACCAAGGTTTCCTATGAAGTGGAACTGATTTTATTAGTGGATATGATCTGGATGGACAATAGTGACATTTCAGTTAAATACTATACTGATTAAAGGTATTGACTCTTAGCTTCTACATTATCAAAAGAAAGGTGGCAGGATGTAGAACTGGCCCAACAACAACAGCAGCAGCAGCAGCAACAACAACAACAACAAATCCTTCCTGGAAAAATGGGTGAAGGAAATGGAGCCTGAACTAATGTAGATTCTGGTATACTAATGCTAATGTAGATACTATATGTATCTAGTATGGAAAACCTGGGAGTCTTACCAGTGAGAAACACTAACAACTAGGTTTGCTGATATTGACTACCAAATGTTATTTGATCTTCCAAATAACTTTGGTAGAAGAGCATAAGATGGAATAAACTTTTGGCTAGTTTGTTTTCAGAACATCTTTGCCTGCTTCTACAGGGAAAAAGAACCTTGTGAATTTACCAGGGTTTATCCATTTGCCAAAGTGGAAAATAGGCCAAGATAAGGTATCCCAAAAATCTTTGTTCCTAATTCAAATACCTCAGCATTGAGTGCCTGCTCATTTTTTCTGTAGAGAAACTGGTTCAGAGAGATAGGATGCTTATTCGTAGCAATCCTGGCTACTTACAGTGCTGTCAATCTGAATAGGTACATGGGCCTATCCCCAGTTGATTGTGAAAGGGTGGCAATATCAGGAAGATGGCACTGATTTATAGTTAGTTGATGCTCTTTGGTTTATCTAAATAGTTCCAGGTCATTTGGCTACTACATTCACTAGTAGAGCTCTCCAGCTGAAATAACTGGCATGATGATATCAAAATATTATCAGTTTAAGAAGATGAAGATCACTGGGTTCAATGCTAAATTGTACGCAGATGTGTATCTATAGGGATATTTCTAGTTTAGGAATTACTCAATCCAAATTGTTAAAGGCATTAATCTGGGTTCTTCATTCCACACTCCCATTTGGTTAGAATTAGGGTGCATCTCCTTAGGGGCCTGACTGAGACTATGCTATCTTAGGTACTGGTTGAAGCAAATTCTTGGTTCATCTTACTTCAAATTAAATCAAATTCTTTACTATAGCTCAGCGACCTAGACTAAATACAACCTATAGAATATAACCTACAAAATAGAATATACAAAGTAAAATAAAGCACAAAAGGTAAAACATTTGCAATCATGCTTGCACTATTTTTCTATTAAAAAAAGTTTTATAAACTGCAAAAACAAACTTTGCAATGGCGAGAATTACCTTGGGATCCTTATCTGCCAGTAAAAATTTAACATAAAATTCTTTAGTTTGTCCTGAAATTGTGGAAGAGGTATTAGTTGCTCTTTATGTATGTCTCAATAGATGTTATAATACCACAGAATATGAGTTCGTGTTTCAATGTTACCATCTTTACAAGGGCAGAGCCTTTCTGGATATGGAATTTTATGAAATTTTTGACAGTATAATATTGAACCGTAATAAT